TGTGTGTGTGTGTGTGTGTGTGTGTGTGTGTGTGTGTGTGTGTGTGTGTTTGTGTCTGTGTATGAATGTGTCTGTGTATGAGTGTGTCCGTGTGTGTGTGTCTGTCTGTGTGTGTGCGTCTGTATGTGTGCGAGTGTCTGTCTGAGTATGTGTGTGTGTCTGAGTGTGTGTCTGTGTGTGTGTCTGTTTGAGTATGTGTGTGTCTGAGTGTGTGTGTGTCCGTTAGTGTCTGTGTGTGTGTGTTTGTGTCTGTGTGCGCATGAGTGTCTCTGTGTGTGTCTATGTGAGTGTGTGTGTCCTTATCCCCAAACTGAATAATTGCCTGTAGCCAGTCATTCTGGTTTCTTGGGTCTTCCCCGTCTTTAATCCTCTTTTCTCTCTTCTTTCCCCCTCTCAGGATTGAGAAGCGGGCCAAATACAGCCGGCGCCGCGCCTATAACGACGACGCCGACATCGACTACATCAACGAGAGGAACGCCAAGTTCAACAAGAAGGCCGAGCGCTTCTACGGGAAATACACCGCCGAGATCAAGCAGAACCTGGAGAGGGGAACGGCCGTCTAGAGCCCAGATCCACGTCTTTATTCTGTCCTTATTTTTAAATAAATTTCTTCTCATTACCCCGCTTCCTGGTTCTTACGTTACGTTATTAGATTTATCCTCTTTTTGCTATTACAAATCATCATCTGACTGTCATATTAGGTCTAATTCCCTCATTTTAGGGTCAAAAGTATTGATGCTCAAAAAAGTATAAAGTATAATAAAACGTTGTATCCGGATACAATACCCATTTTCAAAAGTATTAATCCCCCCCCTCTCTCGGATTTATTTATTTATTTACGTTGTTTATGATCATTAACGTGACGTTAGCCTTGAATTGCTAGCTGCGTCCAATGGCTAATTATAACACGCCAATATTAATCAAGTCTGCAGGAAGCCAAGGATGGATATCCAACTACCCCACATCCAAGTCGGCCATTTTGATTAGGTCACCAATAGGAAGATCCCAAGCAAGAAAATGGTAATTGCTTCATGGTAATATAGACATTAATTTAAAATTAGTTAAATGAATCTTGCAAACACTGAATTAAACTCTATCCATAATATTATGTTAAAATAGTGGATGTTAAATAGGTTTGTACAATAAGTCCAAACAAGTTTAACCAAAAAATATTTATTTCTCACAATTATGAAGGCTGGAGGGTTAGGGTTAGGGTTAGGGTTAGGTTTAGGTACAAGGTTAGGTTTAGGGTCAGGGTTAGGTTTAGGACATCGTTTATCTTCTGAATTCGTATAAACAGTAAAGTTTCGTTTCCACCTTAGAAAGCTGCTAGTCACATGACCTAATCAAAATGGCCGCCCTGGATGTGGGAAGAGGCTCCTACAGCCAGAGGCTGTTTTCTGTCTCAGAGCACTGAGGTGTGCGTTTACAGCTTTGATATGAGGCGGATCAAAGCCGGTGGGGTGTTTTTTATGTCTTATCTGATTAACTTGAAGACGTCTGGTTCATAAATCTTGCGTCTGAGTTTTGGACGTTAACCGTTCGCTCTCGGTTCGGGTTACAGCGGGAGGCGCCGACTCCTGCCTTATCGGTCCATCAGGTTCAGATGTTTCCCTGTAATTATCTGAGAATAATTCAGGATAATTCAGACGTAATTATGAGCCGCCCGGAGGCCTGACAGAGTTATGGAGCTGCTGCTCTGACGGTAAATCAGAGTCCCTGAAGGCCTCACACAGAGCAGCAGGCTCCCTTCTGACGGACACGACTGACCCCGTGTGGCCAAAGCTGGAACTGCAGCCTGGAAACGGGTTTATGCACCTATCACCTATGTCCTCAGGAAAAGGAGGTTAAATTAAAAATAATTAATAAATAAAAAAAATTAAAATACAATTTTTTAATTATTCAGATATTTTTCCATCCAAACCTTCTTTATGTTGACAGCAGTGAAGAAAAATTGCATTTATTTACAGTGGGGGAAATAAGTATTTGACCCCTTGCTGATTTTGCAGGTTTGCCCACTTACAAAGAATGCAACGATCTATAACTTTAATCATATGTACATTCTAACAGTGAAAGACAGAATCCCAAAGAAAATTCCAGAAAATCACATCATATGAATTTATAAAAATTGATAATCATCTGATGAGGAAAAATAAGCATTCTTTGTAAGTGGGCAAACCTGCAAAATCAGCAAGGGGTCAAATACTAATTTCCCCCACTGTAAATTGTTTAAACAAAAATGACAAAAACCAGTCAGTTACTCTCAAAATTCTTTATTGAATCTATAAATAAACAATACACAAAAAGGGAAAGAAGGGATCCCACCTGAATGTATTCTTCACTCCTTCCCACAAAAATCTTAACCATCTGGAATGAAAACGACCACCAAATGACAGTATCTGTACAGGATATTTACATATTTACAGCTCCTGGTGTGTTCAGGAGCGTCTGTGGGCTCTGGAGCGGCGGCCGGAGCCGACGGGGACCCAGTGGCCGTACGGCTTCCTGCTCTCATAGCTGTCCGCTCTGGCCGTTACCTTGGCAACGGGCGCCGCCGCCGCGGTGGGTTTGGCCACAGAGTTCTGGAAACAGAAGGGAAAATGTCAGCGTTTTTATGGCTAAACGGGAAGCGTTTATTAAATTTAGTTATTTCTTTAATCAGGACAGTGCACATTAATGAACAATCTAATACAGATTGTAAATGAGCCAGATTATAGCATAGTTGCTAGTGTACATCTGTCGTCCTTAGGCAGGAAGACCAAACAACACAAAATCACAAAATACAAAATCAGTCCAAACACACGTTCAGACAATGACATTACAAAAATAAAATTAATTCAATTCAATTTCATTTCTATAGCACCACATCACAACAACAGTTGTCTCACAGCGCTTTCCAAACAGAGCAGGTCAGACCCTACTCTGAAGTTAATTACAGATACAGGTTTTGATCCGTTGAGAGTCACTCACATTAACGCTGAAGGAGATTTTCCCTTTGGGGGACGTCCTGGGACTGGACACGCCCGGCTCCTCCTCCTCATCATCGTCCTGTCTCAAACAGAAGAGCATCTGGAAGTTAATCATGAGTGGAAAGAAAACCGACTGCACAGTGAGCCTCTTACGGATGGATTTATTACTACAGTTACATCAAAAGTAAGCTCACACTGCATCCCTCATGCAGCCCTCTAATTACTTAAAGAAAGCTTCAGCCCTTAAAGCTGGATAACACATGTAAGACATAGTGAACTAAAGGCTTCTTCTGTCCTAAGTGGCAGAATGATGACGACGCAGGTCCCCCAGCCCCGGAGCACACATCCTGTGTACCGACTTATCTTTGGCATATGGAGTGGAGTTCTTCATCTGTTTTTAGTTCTCTTGACAGGAATAGTCACTATAATGCAGTCCACACGCCTGCGTTCCCTCAGCGAGTGGAGAACTCTGCTAAATAACAATACCCATTTCATCTGCAAGCATAAATACATTTGTAATGTCAACATACCACTACACCTCTAAACATGAAGCTCAGTCTGTAATTCAATGTGTCTAATTAGCAGATGTTTTTGTACATCATACATAAGTTTATCTGAGTCTTGTTAGCCCCTAAATGAACATATGAAGACATTACAAGAGTCATCAGATAACCTTTCACGCAAACAAAATTGATGTCACCCAAGTCACATGACAGCCCTTTAATCCCAGGTGCCGATGAGTGAAGGAGACCACTGTCATGTTATCTATGAAGACAGGAATAAATACAGAGAGTATGTGTTTCCCTCACAGGTCCAAGGGTTAACAGACAGGAAAATCAACACAGCATAGATCAGTAGATAACTCAATCACTCCTGAGTTTGAAAGAAACAAACACATTTTGCGTATTTAAGGAATTTGTCTGGTTTGAAAAATCCACCTCTAATGGAATGGAATAACTGTTAGCAGTATGTGTATAAACATGAAGTTCTAACCCAGTTCTGACATGTTGAGACCTTTTCATTAAAAAATCTAATTGAGAAACAAAAGGGCTATGGAAAGATCTTGGACTGAAAAAAGTGAGAGAAAGGGGGAATAAAGAAGTGGTGTGTTCTGTGTACCACAAAGTGGACGCTTTCAGGGGCTCACCTGTGTCGGCGTCCTTACGGAGCCATGCCTCACCCGTGTCAGCGGCTCAGGAGAAAACCTGCTGGACTCTGGCTGCTCTGAGAGGATCGGTTTCACACTCTCTGGAAGTTCCAGCTTCTCCACTCCAAGGATCTTCATGGCATTGGCCTTGGCAGTTTCAAGAAGTTCCTTTTTATCTGATTAAACACAAACAGATTGGGATTATTTAACCAAATGTCTCATGCTAAAAAACAAACCTCAAGTCTCAGAGGCAGCTGCTGTACTCACCACGCAAGCTGAGGCTAATGGAGTGTGCAGGGGACCTGGATCTGGACCTTGACCGGGGCCTGGATGATCTTAATGGGGATCTGGATGAAGACCTGGACAATCTGCACCTGAACTGGCTCACCGGCCTCCTGTACCTACGCCAGCGGCCAGAAGACCTGGACCGGGATCTGGACCTGGAGTGGGCCCTGTAGTGCCGGGAGTACCTGCTGGACGAAGGCGAGCGGCTGTACGAGCGGGAGCGGGCCCTAAAGCGCCGCGGGGGGGAGCGCCGGGAACTCGGGCGGCTGTATCTGCGATGGTCGTTGCATCCACAGCGGGAGGAACGTCTGTGGCAACGAGGGTACGAGCGAGACCTGGAGCGAGAGGAAGACCTGCTGCTGGACGATGAGGAGGAGGATGAGGAAGACGAGGACCTGCCCCTTCTCCTGTGGGTTCCTCTTCCTCGGTAGGAGTCGGAGCTGGAGGAGCGGCTGCTGGCGCTGCTGCTGGATGAACGGGAGCGGGAGGAACCGGGGCTTTTGTGGTCGAAAATCACTTTGATACCATCACTCTGGCGAGCCTGGGCCATGTCAGACCTAGAGTGAGATTGCTTGGCCATTTTTAGATGTCTTTCTCGAGCTGAAAATAAACAAAAAAAACGTGTTAGTGCATGAGTACATCATGATTCACTTAAAGCTTAAAATTTAGATAGATACTTCATTTATCCCGTTGAATCTAGTAGCTACATCTAGCAGGTTAGCATCAACACAAACAAAAACTCATGTAGTAAAAACCCCAGTAATATCTTAATAACACGATAAAACAAGAAAATATTTTAACTTTCCTCTTTCTCAAGACGGTTGTACCCGAAGTAACCTACTTTTTATAACTCAAACCAGCTAACAGACTTTGCCCAACGGTTTTCTTTGTGTTGCCCTGGGCGACTGCGGCACGTTGCGTAACGGCTGAATGGAACGTTCTGGAAATTTCCAGTGACGTAGGCTAACAACAGCTGTGCTAACTTGTGCTAACGAGTACAAATGGAAACGCTCCTCTACATTGTTGTGTCACAATAGCATTAAATTAACTCAAATATGAGTAAATGTTACGTTTTTTAAAAGCCAATATATTTAAATATAATATAACGATACAACATAAAAAAATAGTATTATGTAATGCAGCTTACCGAGTCAACAACAGCGTGCCACTCTGAAGACGTGAATGAAGATCAAAACTATTAAAGAAGACCTCAAATGTGATATCACAACACACAATTTACGACTAAAGCTAAACGATTACTAGAGTCGTTGTTTTTCGGACTAAATATTCGTAATCAAGGACGTCGGCTCTTCTGGGAAGTGAATCCGCCGGGTGTCGTCTCTCGAATGACCGTTGGAATGCGGCAGCAACGGTTTACAACGGCCGTGTGGAAAATTCCATTCCAGGGGGCGGCGCTTCTTCTTCTTCTTCTTTATTAATGTTGGCGGTTGATACAATTCTTTTCTGCCACCTACTGGTGTGGAGTGTGGTTCAAATGTATTACCAATGATCAAATTCTATTACAGTACTGGACTTTGATCCAAATATCCGGGGGTGGTTCCAGAAGATTCCGCTCTTTTGTCCCGATTTTATACTCAAGCGTTCATTCAGTTATTCCAAAAGCTAATTTTCTTCAGTGTTTCAACGTATGATGAAGAAATCTGCACAACACGTGATTCATATTTGAAGTGGTTTATAAAAAAGAAATTAAAATGGAGTCTGACCAAGTTAATAGGGAATAAATCGGTCTATAATCAAAAGAACAGTTCAGGTACACCCTTTCAGCTGCAGGGAACCGAGCAGAGGTTGTTTGTTATTTTTCAATTACTTTACAGAACAAATATTTAAAAGTCAATACAGAAAATTACATTGCCAGTGAATGTATACATTCAACTTTTACACCTATTAAAAGTAAACATGGAAACCGCATCTTGGTGTTTTTAAGCAACATTGAACATGTTGGAAACACAATTTTTCCATTTTCCATGTCTGGTTACTGAGACGAATGGGATAGCTGTGTTTGTTTTTACTTAATCTTTGTTCCCATTTGTCTTCAATGATCAGGAGTACACTCAGTCATGTTAATAGTGCTGAAAAGTAAAGTGAGAAAAACTGGAAGAAAGAGTAGTTGAAAGCTTTGGTTATTGGATTTCATTTCCATGCCAGTGTTAGGGTTAATGTATATTGATGTTGCTTTGCAAATATTCAAAAGTGTTTTCCAGTAATCAAATATGTCTTTGACTTCATTGTTTGAAAGTGTTAATATTTTTCAAATGAACGATGATCATTTAAGTATCCCTCCATGATTTAGTTAAAATGTCTAACGTGATGCATTGCTGACAACAGATTGTTTCATTCTAACTTAAATTTTAATGAGAGGCCAAGGAAAACGGGGTTTTAAAAATGGCGGCCTTGCCCTTTATTTGTTTTCTTATCTATGGAACGTAATCTCGCGAGACTTTATGTAACGCTCTATTCGTTGCTTCCTGTCTGTGTGTTGAACCTTGGTTTTCTCATTGCTCTCTGCTGAAACTCGGAGTGTTTGTCCCTACACTGCTCCAAGATGGACATCCTGACCGTTTTACCGTCCAGTTTCGGATATGTCATATTTACTTACCTCTACAGCTGGATAATGCTAGGTTATTTAGCAGTTAAGGTCGGATCTGCCAGGAAGAAATACGACGTTAAGGTAGTTTTACTTTACGTTTCTATATGGCGCCTTCGTTTTTCCAGCTACACGTTGATAGTTTGTGGTGTGTTTCTGACTAAGTTGTATCTCACTTTTATTTTCTAGTATCCCACGATGTACAGCGACAAGGAGCAAGTGTTCAACTGTATCCAGAGAGCCCACCAGAACACCTTAGAGGTGTATCCCCAATGGCTGGTTTTCCAAACCATTGCAGCCCTTGTCTATCCGGTATGTATGGTACACACGTTAAATATTGGGGTTATTTTTTTTGCAAAAATATATGTGAATGGGAAAAGTACAAGACGAAGTTTGTACTGCTGGGAATGTGACGGGGGGTGGAGAAACCTCTGCTTATCTCTGGCACAGATCCTCCAGATAGCTAGTCTAATCATCATGAGTAAGCACATTTCCAGTGCTTCCCAGTGGAAATTAATGTCATTTTTGTGTTTTTTTTTGTTTTTAAACTAGCTATCTGCATCTGTACTGGGGGCCATTTGGGTGACCAGCAGGTTTTCTTATGCTTGGGGATACTACACAGGAGGTAAGACCAACTTTAGGAGCAAAAAAACAACAAAACTGATTCACCCACTGAGCTTTCATACCCACAAAACTGTCAAAATAATTCGATCAAAAGCTTTAACTAACAATATTTGATTTAAAAGATGAATAACAACAATTTGTAAGTTTAAAACTTAGGCATTTATTGGTACTAACAAAATGTATTATTTATGCAGTATAAATACATACATAAGATAATTTAAAGATTATTTAATAGATAGATTTTCGTAAAGACCGATCTACCTGCTGTGTTTTAGTGAATGTAAAACTGAGGCTGAATTTATTCTCATTTAATTGTTTTTTTAATCAAAGCTTGTACATTTCTACTTTATTTCAGATCCAGCCAAGAGGATGAATGGAGCTTATGGCTACATTGGATATTTTGGAGTCATCTTTCTGTCCATATCTGTGGCTTTGCAGCTGCTCGGAGTTTTTTAAGATTTGCATTAACTTGCAGATCTCTTTTGCTATATGAGCCACTAACATAAAGTCTAGCTCTGTATAATCTCTTTGAATGTATATTAAAAGGGCTGCACAATATCCTGTTACTATCAGGAAAATATATGCTAACTAATGCTGTAATTTCAGTTGCAAATCCCAGTTTTCTCATGCACCGTACAGCTTTAAGGCTCTTTCCATGTGACTCCCACATGATGCCATCTCCCATCAGTACAGGCACGCAACAGATGGTTTCTAGAAGATTTACAGGCCATGTTCAACTGATTGTGCAAGAAGATTTTTACTGTTTCACTTCTGTATTTCACTGACGAACGACAATAAAGTTCAATCTAATCTGACATGAAAATGTACACTTTTTCCCAATAAAAGCATTTATTAAATATTTTATTCAACTTAATTTCTTTACCCAGGAGCCAAATAAATCTGTGTACAAGCACAGTAATCTATATTTCTTTATTTATTTGTTTTCCTATTTTTCAAGGAAGGGTATTTACACATTTTCTGGCTTTTTCTTAGAGATCTGGTTTGATCTGATCATCTGATCTGATGCTTTTATGAGACTCATCGTGGCTTTTATGTTACACTTTGAATTAATGACTATAGTCACCCCATTTATGGATTATTAACAGAATTAGCTGCACTGGTTTTTGTTTTTTGTGTAGCAAAGGAAACATGTTTTTCATTTTGTGGTTTACTAGTCTCTTAGTGTTTACGTAATGACAGGAAAAAAGTAGAAGCTGTTTAGTCCTTATTGATGGGTGATAAGGACATGAAAATTATTTATTGGACCTTTTGTACTGTTTGTATGAACTGAAGGGATATTCGGTTAAACTTTACTCTGGTGCAGTGGAGAACACCATCTTTTGTTATTCTGCAAAGTAATTCCACAATCATTTGTTTATAATTTTGATTTAATGTTTAACCCTTTAACGGCTAAGCTTATCATTTACTTATGTCTAGTCTTTTCGTTTATTTTTATGGATGGTAACCTCTTCTGTCAGTCAGTTTGTTTGCAAATTTGTCAAGAATACTAAGAAACAATTCAATTTCTGGCATTTATTTGCAATGTAGTGTATAAAAATGAGGTCTATCAACATTTTAAAATCCTTTTTAGATAAAATGTGTTTTTGTTTTTTTGATTAATAGGTTTCACTTGTTGCTCAATCTAAGGGGGTCGAAATCGAAAGTAGAAGGAAATATTTAAAAAACGTAGAAGTAATTTACTTTTCTTTTTTTTTTCCAGTGAAAATATCTTGCCCGTGAATGATAACGTCCTTGACAGTTTATTCTACTTTTATATACGTTAAATATGCTCGTTTACAGGCGAAATTCCCATTTTTCCTACAGCCCGCGAAGGCAGCATTGTTTGTGGTTCTATCATCAAACGACTGGGGGTGAAATGCGCATGCGCAAGAGCAATATCCGTAGGAAGAAGAGACGGGTTTTAACCAAAGGATTCACGTAGGAAAACAAACTAACACCGAAGGTGAGGACCCTTTTTAAATGCTTTAACGCACAGATATACATCCATAATGTCTATTTCTACTAGTTTCCAACAATGTCCGTTTAAGTTTTGTCATTATTTGAAGAGACTTTGTAACTAGAAACCTTCAAGGAAATGTGTGCTAGAAGCCAAATCCGTGAACAAAAGAGTCCGACAACACAGCCTTTCATCTCCACACAACTCTGTCAGTTTCTGTAACTTTAAACTGGATATCTTTGTTATTTTTTCGACAAATAGATGTAGCCACGATGTGTATTTACTTAATAAATCTTGAGTTACAGTGTAGGTGTTGCACCGAGCCGGGGGGTGTTAGTTAGCATCACCGGGATTTAGTAGCGACTAAAGTCTTTGTTTTCGGGTTTCAGTTCATCTTCAGGAGCGTTTTTACTGACCTATATCGTGTCTGGAGTTATATGCATTGTGGCCGATTTTGTCTTTGTGATATGGTTGCGTGTTTCCGCTAACTTCCCACCGTTTTGTCATCCTCCCCGTGGACCTGACGCCCTTTGCAGAGTCATGTCGGGATTTCTGGACGGAATCCGCTGCGGAGACTGTGAATGCAACGTGGACTGGGGGGAGAGGAGGAACACCATCGCCTCCATAGCTGCAGGAGTCCTGGTATTTACTCTGATTTCCTCTGTCAGGCCTCTGTTTTTTCCTGCCTGACTCATTGCTGTTTTAAATGCATCAAAATGTTCTTAAATAGTCTCTGGCTGTTGTTAAAGCGTCAAAATGTTCTTAAACAGTCTCTGATCTGTGTCCTGTTGCAGTTTTTTACAGGTTGGTGGATCATCATCGATGCGGCTGTGAAATATCCCAGTGAGGGAGACTTTCATCACGCCTATCACACGTGTGGCGTCATAGCAACGGTGGCCTTTCTCATGTAAGATGCTGAATCTAGTCTCTTTTTTCTCATTGATGAGATGTAGCTGATATCACATGACCTGATGAATGGGGGGGGTGATCGGCTTTAGCTGTGATGCCTGACTTAAGTTTCCATGTAGGGAGTCATATGATAACAATTAATCCATCTCCATGACAACCGGGGGAGCTTTTGTTTACCTCTGATCCTTCGTTCAGTTCTTTCCCAGCCCTCCCTGTTGATTAAGCTTAAACTAAGTGGCACGTTTCTGTAGATATCGGGGTATTTAGTTGGACAGTGGTTCTTTAGATTTGATTCAAAGCGGCTTCAGAAGAAGGTTTACAGAGGTTTAATATTAATGCTAAGCTCTGTAAGTACTGTTAAACCATAATTAGTAAAGCTTAGGTAAGTAGCCTCCTTTGATTTCTGTCTTTAACATCACAGGTAAGAACAAAAAATGGAATTAAACATTCATGTATGTCAAAGGATTAACACTTTCTGATCCAAAAGGCTTCCAGTAAGGGCCCAGTCTCAGGTTTTAGCTTAAAACGGCTTGTTTTGGTTTCGGTTTGGAGCATTGGGTGGGAGAGCATCAATAACAAATGTTTGTTGGTCCAGTGTAAGAAGTCATTAAAGAAAGTGAAGATCCCAGCCTGCCTAATTTTACAGCTATATAGAGCAAATTATAATAATTAATAATAATAATCCTGTGCTTACCTGCTGTTTAATGTTTAATATCTCCTGTCTTGGACATGCAAATACATGTTTGCTAGTAGACTTAAGTCTACTATGTGACTTAAGTTTGATTACACAGGATTTTTCCCATATTACTGAATTATTTCAGTATTTGGTATATTGTCATATTTTAGCATTAAGCTAAGTGCATGATGAATATGTTGCAACAAAATCTCGCTGTACGCATGTATAATGACAATAAAGGCTTTCAATTTAAATCAATTGTTTATTTATTTTTTATTTTTTTCTTTCTGACCCGTCCAGGATAAACGCGGTGTCCAATGGCCAGGTGCGAGGCGACAGCTACAGCGAAGGCTGCATGGGACAGACAGGTGTGGAACCAACCGGCTCAGAGTGGAGCTTTATTTATTTTATTTTGTATTTATTTATTTATTTAATCAGGACAGTGCACATTAATGAACAATCTCATACAGATTGTAAATGAGCCAGATTCTAGCATAGTTGCTAATTTACATCTGAGGCAAGAAGACAAAACAATACAAAATCACATAATACAATATCAGTTAAAACACACAGACACACGTTCAGACAATGACATTACAAAAATAATCCGGAAGCTTCTGATATCTTCTGAATCTGCACACAGGTAACAGATTCTGTTTCTCTTTTTGGGTGTTTTTTGAGGAGAATAAGGTTGTCTGAGTTGGTTTATTTATTTTATTTATTTATTTACAGTGGGGGAAATAAGTATTTGACCCCTTGCTGATTTTGCAGGTTTGCCCACTTACAAAGAATGCAACGATCTATAACTTTAATCATATGTACGTTCTAATAGTGAAAGACAGAATACCAAAGAAAATTCCAGAAAATCACATCATATGAATTTATAGAAATCGATAACCATCTGATGAGGAAAAATAAGCATTCTTTGTAAGTGGGCAAACCTGCAAAATCAGCAAGGGGTCAAATACTTATTTCCCCCACTGTATTTAATCAGGACAGTGCACATTAATGAACAATCTCATACAGATTGTAAATGAGCCAGATTATAGCATAGTTGCTAATTTGCATCTGAGGCAGGAAGACAAAACAACACAAAATCACATAATACAATATCAGTTAAAACAGAGAGACACACGTTCAGAAAATTACATTACAAAATTAAAATTAGTGATTGCATGACTGGGAACTTTTGAGAAACAGCTTAAGGTGCTTTTTAAATGTGTAAAAAGTGGGACGTTCCCTGATGTTTGTTGGGAGTTTGTTCCAGAAGTTTCCCCCTCTGACCGGTGGGGTCAGGCCTAATGTAGGTAGAAAGTGGAGGTGGGGCTAATCCATTCAGAACTTAGTAAATTAAACAACTATTTTTATAAAGAATAAAATATAATAAGCTGCCCTCCCTTCTCTCTCCACGCAGGCGCTCGGGTCTGGCTCTTTATCGGCTTCATGCTGGCGTTTGGCTCCCTCATTGCCTCCATGTGGATTCTCTTCGGGGGATTTGTAGTGCCGAGTAAGTTCTGTTTTCATCACCGTTTTCTGTCATTTAAAAGATTTACAGACCAACCCGTGTGTCGTGTTTAATTCTGTGTTTTGTCTTTTCAGAAAAGCCATCTGTGTACCCGGGTATCGCCATCTTCTTCCAAAATGCTTTCATTTTCTTTGGGTAAGTTAATAATCCTAGCTGTGCTTTTCTGTCCTCACATCTTTAAACACGTACAAACGGAAACATCTAACTTATCTTTTTATTTTTTGTTTGTAATTCAGGGGTTTGGTCTTCAAGTTTGGACGCACAGAGGATCTCTGGCAGTGATGGACTTTGCCCGGTTAAACTCTCCGCTTTCCACATTGTATGAGACAACATACTTCAGCTATTATACACTTTATATATATTTTTTAGCTTTCAAATAACATGTTTAATTTATGGTATTTGCTGAAATATACATAAATCACATCGAAGCACAAGATTTCATAGATTTGTTGGAGGGATGAATCATTTCCAATGTGGCACATTTAAATGTTTTTAAATGCGTCTGTTTGCACTCAGAGAATCCATCTGGTTCAAGTGGTTTACTATATTGGGAGCTTTGCTACTATTTTTCCTCGGGTTTACTTTATTTTGTGAGATGTTTTAAGTTTAAAATGTAGGTTGAGTTCTATATCATTGAGGGAAATAACAACTTACACATGTAATAACTGTAACCAGGTGGGTTTGCTTTTTGTTTTTCTGTGTGACTCCTTATCTCTGTAAAGATCTGAGATCAGCTAAAGATCCAAATCCTCCACATCTGGATTCGTGTGCAACATCTGCCTGTTTTTCCCGTGTAACACCCAAAAACATTTGCTCTGTTTCTGCCACCGTGGCGACATTAAACCCAGCGAGCAGCAAATAAGACGACTCTTTTATCTGCCTGAGCTTTTATTTGGACCTCCCACACAAAAACACGCCAGAGCTTCTTCACAGAAACAGTTCGGGGTGTAATTATTCCCTCCGACTGTTTCGGGGAGTCGAGCTTCTCCATCCTCTCATTTGCGGACTGCGTTGTGTGGAAACTGAAAAACACAGAAATGCTTTTCGTTAGTGACTCTGAAGCTATTTCAGAGCCCAAAGACACTTCAGTATCTGTAAAGATTTCCCTGAGATTTTTGCTTTGGGAAAAAAATAACTTTGTCAGATACCTCCCAGAAAGCTTGATCATCAAAACATTTCTTGTTTTGAGGGGGTCTCCAGAAGTTCCACTTCAGCAGAAATCCTTCAAGCGAAGACAAAATATTAGTTTTACTTTATTTACTTTACTTTATTTACAGAAATATGCTAATCAGAGCACACTGAGAAAACACTTGATGTCTTTCCATTTGTCTCAGACAGAATTCAGCATCAGGAGCTTTATTTCAGACTCTGACATTTGAAATGATCTCTCAGTGTTTAATCGTTTTCAACTAATTAGGATTTCAAATCAAATTCCCCCTTTTGTCCTCCACTTTCAGCCGACTCACCGGGCTTCTCTGAGAAGTCAGAAACACAGCAAGCAGGACATTTAACCACTAAAACAATAATTTCTGCTTAGGATTGACAGTAAATCATTAGAATTTGGCATCTTAATGAAGGAAAGAAAGACAGAGAGGGAGAGAGAGAGAGAGATGGGGGGTAGCCTCTACAGTAACACAAAAATGCCAATGATATTGATACTAATGATGATGATAGCAGTAATAATAACAGCAATAAGACCATGAACAGTGGCTGTAATTATAGCAAAGTAATTCAATTAAGAGTAATTAAAGAGTTTGCTTAAAGAAAGCACCAACTCTGTTCATTTAGGGCAGAAACCTGACACGTACTTTACATCCACTTCACCGAAAATTGGATTTGGCAACGTTTTCGGATCCTTTTTTTTAGGATTTTTTTTTTCTTCTTACAAAAACAACAACCACTCATTCCCTCCCCAATCCTACAAGATTATGGTACAGATCAGTAATAACTCACATCCTTCCTTCTTACCGTACACAAACATGTGAATAAAACAGTATATAGACAATTAAAAAAGAGAGAGTAGTAAGAATAACATAAAAAAATAAATAGAAAACACCCAAAAAATAAAACTGAAAAGTAACATTTTTAATGGGTTGAGATGAAGCAGAGAGGAAAAATAATTGTAATCAAAAGTCAGTTGTCAAAAGTGGACATTTCATTTATCCTGTAGTGTCTTTAATCTAGATATGTAACTAATCATGCAGCCCCAAACTGAAACAAATTTTCCAGGTGCCCCCCTCAGATCGGATATTCGGATATCGTTTTCGGATCCTGATCCAAAAGAGAAACCAAAGAGACACCAAAAAGAAACCAAGGATAAACCAAAGAGAAACCAAAAAATAAACCAAAGATAAACCAAAAAATAAACCAAGGAGACACCAAAGAGAAACCAAAGAGACACCAAAGAGAAACCAAAAAAAAACCGAAGAGAAACCAAAAAATAAACCAAATAATAAACCAAAGAGAAACCGAAAAGAAACCAAAAAATAAACCAAAGAGAGACCGAAGAGGAACCAAACAATAAACCAAAAAATAAACCAAACAGAAACCAAAAAATAAACCAAACAGAAACCAAGGATAACCAAAAAATAAACCAAAAAATAAACCAAAGAGAAACCAAAAAAGAAACCAAAAAGAAACCAAACAGACACCAAACAGACACCAAAGAGAAACCGAAGAGAAAACAAAAAATAAACCAAAAAATAAACCAAAGAGAAACCGAAGATAAACCAAAGAGAAACCAAACAGAAGCCCTCTACCTGTGAGGATCCCCGTGGTGAGGCTGGTGGAGACGGTGATGAACAGCGTGCTGATGTGAAACACGGAGAAGCGGATCGCCCTGCGGAGCACAGACCGGTTAAACGGTTAAACTCAACTAAACTAATGCAGAGTGGCAAGGCCCCTGGCCCTGATGGTTACCCTATAGAGTTTTATAAAAGCTTTGCTGACAAATTAAATCCTCTTCTCTTAGACATGTTCAATGACTCTATTGACCGGGGAGCTCTGCCTCAAACTCTTACTGAGGCATCCATCCATCCATCCATCCATTATCAATGCCGCTTATTCCCTGTTGGGGTCGGGGGGGCGGAGCCTATCCCAGTAGCCAATGGGGAGAGGCGGGGTCCCCCTGGACGGTCCCCAGTCCATCACAGGGACACACAGAGACACACAAGGACCAACAACCACACACACTCACACTAAGGGCAGTTTGGAGTCCAACAACCTAACATGCAGGGTTTTTTTTTGGACGGTGGGAGGAAGCCGGAGAACCCGGAGAGAACCCACAGACACAGGAGAACATGCAGAACCACCCAGAAAGGTCCTGGTTCCCCCGGGGACTCCAACCCAGAACCCTCTGGTCCTGGTTCCCCCGGGACTCCA